CGCTATAAACAAAAAATTGTAGGATTACTTACCGAGTGTGCACTGTTCAACGTCGCCATTGCTTAAGCTTGTTTTCGTCACGGAGCAGCACACCAAATGGTGGCCGCGATATCTGATAACAAATTTTTCACAGAAAAATAACTTGACCTTTAGAGACATCATTAATATAAATAATTTTTATGGCCGTTGAATAAGAAATGTTTCTTTCACAAGAAATGTATAAAATTACAGTACTGTATTAGACTTACGGTATCTAATTTACATACTGTACAGATAATAGTAAACAACTTACTCGCCTAAACTCTCCGTAGCGTGGCGCTAGATGGTGGAAAGTATATATATAATTATAATAAAGTTAAAATAAATTAAGTTAATATATAATTATATATACAGTACCTAATTTATATATAATTAATATATAATTATATGTACAGTACTTAATTTATATATAATTTATATATAATATGTACAGACGATAATAAACTCAATTTACCCGCCTAAACTCTCCGTAGCGTGGCGCTGGATGGCGGAAAATAATTCGGCTGCTCGTCTGCGATGACAAGTTGGCAATGACATTTTACCGCGTTTTACGCGTCCCTTGTAGCATCTTTATACGAATATTGTCACAATTTTTTTGCCACGTTATAGGAATCTACGTTATAGGAACTCGCGTTATAGGGGGCTCTACTGTACAAATAAAAGCTTACAGCTGTTTCAAATTGATATCAATGGTTCTTGAAAATAATCTTAAAATATATCTCAATTAGCTGACCATTGAGTCTCCATGGATGAAAATTAAACAAAAATATAAACAAAATTTTAAAAGAAACATTACATCATGTATCACAATTATGTTTTATACATGTTGTGTTATTCATATAATAGAACTATCTAAATATATAAAATTACTGATTGATTCATCATCACCCAGAACAAACTGCTGCACCTAAAGAGGTGAAAATTGGTTCACAGTTAGGGTACATCATGAAAATGCACACTAAGAAGGGATTTTTCAAAATTTCCCCGTGGGGGAGAAGGAGAGGATTAAGGCTTAACCTGAAGAACGGTTTCTACTGTACTATTTTAGATGCAATTTTTTGTTTTCAACTACATTTAGTCTTCATTGAGTACTTAGGTGTATTAAGTTGATAACATTTCAGACATTGTTATAAATATTTTTATATATTTTGATTCGAATTTTGAATTGATTCGAAATTCAAATTTGTTATTGCATATTGGTTTGATTATAGAACAGTTGTAAACTTTCCAGAAAATTGATCAAACTGAAAACAGTTCATTTGATTCTCAGCAATTCTTAGCAGTAGGTGTTATATAACAATTACTATGGTTGTTGAAATACTGAATATAAATGGAGTTTGCTTGCAAAATCTGTGCAGGCAAAGTCATAGGTAACAGCTAGTTTTACATAAATTTCTCTAATTTTTTTTATTAAACATAATTAATGTAAAATGTATGTATTTTATATCAATAATATGTACAGTACATAGAACATAAGCATTATTAATATGAAAGATAACGGTGAAAAAAATTATTATTTATAATATTAACAATATATTAAATATTGTCTGTATTAATATCAAATAGATATCAATTTTAATTATGAGAGTATTTAATATGATATTTTTTTATGGATGTAAGTCTTAAAACTCTCAGCTAGAGGCATTTGCTTTTTTGTAAAAAATTAGTGGTAATAAAATTAATTTTGAAAAAATTTCGTAATTAAGTATTCTCCTTTGCATATAAACTGATAATAAGTCATTATTTGCATTTATAAATGATGATAATCTTAAATAAAAATTATATTGTATAAAATTTTGAATTATTTAAACTTATAAATTTCAATTTATTTTCAGGATCTTTCACCATTAAATGAAAATACAGTGAAGTAAGTATTTTGAAATAATACCCTTTTAGCAACACCATCTGTGTAGTTTTATCAACTGTAATTAAGATCAGTCCATTACTCCTTATCTGTTGTTTAAGCTTTCAAACCGTCTCTTTGTAATCTCTCTCTCTCTCTCTCCTGTCTGTGTTGTTTTGTTTCTGCCTTTTCACTTTTTCATTATTAATCATCTAATGCTTCTTTTTTTAAAAATCTTGTTCAGACTTTTAATAAACATAAACATACCTGTCTCCCTAACCATTAATTTTTCAATCTTTATCTCTCCATAATCTGAAAGGGTTTATTGTCAAGGACTTCTAGTTCTTTTTAGATAACAATCTGCCATATTGCAGTAATATGACAACAAGATCATCTCCCAAAACTTGAGAAAACTAGTCATCTCAAACTGTCTTGTTAAAAGAAAATGTAATAGATACATAGCATTGCATATAGTAATATGTCTAGTTTCAAAAACTACTCACAAATCAAATGCAAAAATTGTCATTACCAATTACCATTTTATCTATCCCTATTAATGGAAAAATTAAATTTATTGGCTTTGTTATATTATCTAGTTTAACAAGAATAAAACACAGCCTAAGCTTGTTACAGTGGAATCTCTTGATGATGAGCTTTTCAGAATAAGAAACTTTTAATTTTTCTGCAATACAACTTCTGTAGAAACCATAGCAAAATTTTTCAGTTGTTTGAAAATATTTATAATGAACTTTTCAGTTCAGTGTTCTTTTTCTGTCAGTCCAAAGGTAATAGAATTTTTACAGTTTTCATTTCATTGTAACAATTTCATTCTGATTTCTTTCCCTCTTCATTACTATTGCTTTATAACTGATGAACAACTGTATCCAAGGGAGAGGGATGAGCTCAGAGGTAACTGATGAGTTACAGGTTTAGTAAACTCAACAAAACCTCCAATTTGTCATACACACAGGTATAACTGCTGTTTATGTCTTTGTAAATTTTGTTATTTTAATCTTCACTTAAGAGATGAAGGCAAAATGGCACTGACAACATCTATAGGAGGGATACATGCCAGGTTTCTTCTGGTCATTCCCTTCTAGTACAGGAAATCAAAGCATAGGAAGAATATGATTCAGAGGTGTGAATTAAATTGACAACTTCAGAACTAAACTACTTTACCTAAATGAAGTAGGTAAAAAAAATGATATAAGTAACATATATAACATTTTTTCATACTTAGTATTCATTACTTATTACATCTTTTCAATCTATACTTTCCATTTGTTACACATGCTAGATATTCTAATAATTATTTTTTAACATTCAAAAATATGAAGTTCTACATTCAAGAATTTTAAATTATATAAATTGTGAGAATAAATTAATTACATTTTTTATTAATTGCATTATTTAGAACTATTTAATCTTTGTACAAAATAACAAATCTTATTAATGAAATAAAAAATAAGATTTAATTTATATATAAATATTCTTTGTGTACCTTGGAATTATTTATTTATAATTTTTTTTTTAATTTAATTTTTAGATCTTTGATACAGTTGGCAAAAGAATTTGAAGATCTAGCTGATACATGCTTACTGGTTTTACATTTGGAAGTCAGAGTGCATTGCTTCTACTTCTTGTTACCAGTGGCAATGCAGGTAATAATGTCTATGAGAATAATTTTTGTTTAGAGATGCTGAGTACAAACTCATTTATCTTAATTCATTACATTAAGAGATATTTTAAACAGGTAAAATTGATTAATCGATTTATAAATACTAAACATATTTCTTATCTTTATTTGATATTAAGGTTAATTTTGATATTATATAATTTAAACTTGTTTAAGTGACACTTTTTATGCTGTTTACTTTTGAACTTGAGCCAGCACTGGGGTTGGCAGAGAGTGAGGGGCAGAAGAGTAAAAAGAAATCAATTTTAACAAAAAACTTTAAATTGAAAAATTGTAAAAATATAACAATATAAATTGATATGTTTTTATCTTGTGTTTCATGTTTGGTGTAAATGTAACAGCTAAAACAATTGTAAACATCACAATATAAACAAAATCAGGAAATTTATTACAAAACATCTCCTAAATGCCACTACACAATAATTTAACTGTTGTTTTACAATAGTAATCATTTGAAATTAATTATAAAATTATATTATTCATATGTCTGAATGGGATATATAACCTGTCTCATGATATTTATCTCATGAATAACATCATTTTTCAAACCCGTCTTATTTATGAAATGAGTTTGAAAAAGATTGATGTTTATTATAGTTATTGATGATATGATTCCGAACTTTCTTGTGTCTTGTCTTTGTAGAAATAAGTAGGTTTGGCATGATATTTTAGTCTACTTTACCAAGTCAAGAAGCTAATTTATGATTTAATATTTAAAAAAGATTTTAATATGAAATATGTTTCTGAAATTTAGAGTTCATTCTCAAGTGGTATAGACAGTCAAGAACCTGATCCAGAAGTGACCAAACTAAATAAAGACCTGTCCAACATTGATGAAGCAATGACTGCCAGTCTTCAGCCACGAAAATTAAAGTATCATTACCTTTAAAAACTAAAATATGCAGAATTTTAATGTAATTCTAAATAAATGCTAAAATTAAAATCGTATCTTTCAGGTATATTTTTGAAGGTCTCGGACATTTAGTTGCTTCCATCTTAATAAATAGTACTGTTAGTATCAAAAGAATTAATGAAAATGGAGTTAAAAAAATGCAAGTATCAGATTTTTATGATTGAATAACAAATTTAAATATTGATATGTAAAATATAAAAAATTTTAGTAGTTAAAAGTATTATTAACACAATACTATGATCATTGTTATTAAGTTGCATATATTAAAGCAACTTAGTAACACAAAACATATGTTTTTGTAAACAGTCATTTAAGTTTTATGACGTAATTTAATTGATACAAATTAAAAAATTAACAAATTCTGTTCATTTTTATTTGTATATCATTTAAAATGGTTGTCTTATGATTATGCTGTTCATGTTCAACAGTTATCTTATGTGTTTGATTAGATCAACAGGTTTAAATTACTCCACGAGTTCGAATAAACCCATATTCAGTTGCATTTAAAAAATAAACACACAGCAAACCACACGAAGGTTTATTTGAATTGCATGTTATAAGCAATGGCTTATTGTAAGCACATAAATTTTTATGTCTTTTTTTTTTGTCTATGTTCCTTTTTAGAATTACTTTTTGGTTCTCATTCAATGACCCTTCATGGCCACTCACACCAACACTTATAAAAACTGTGGATTTGAATCATCTCACAGACTTGAATAAACTTCCAAATAAATAAAAAGTAGATCCATAGTGGCTCTATATGAATCTGTACAGTACTTTTCTCTAATTAAAACTAAAACTTAAATGGAAATGTTTTTATTAAGTTGCAGGTAGAATGGAAAGCAATGCTTTTATTTTGATTACTTTTGTTTTATGTTTTAGCAAGGATATTTTATTGAATGAAACATAAAAACAATTTTTGAAATGAAGTTTTTTATTGCCAATATTATGTATATATATATAAAAGTATTCCCTATGCAAAAGTGTATAGGGAATACTGGTGATTATATAGAGAAAGAAACACAACACATACACATATACAGTAGGTGATTGGTTAATGAACAGATTGGTTAACGAACAAATCGGATAACAAACACTTTTGCAAAAGATTTTTGTGATCGGACAACGAACACTTCACTGAACAAACATAAAAAAAGAAGCGACAAAAATAGCAAATACCGATTGATTTTCCCTTGTCTTCAGGCAACAATTTGAAACTTTTCAGAGCGCTGGAGACGTCCACATCGACGCTCAACCCGGAATATACTGATCAGATAGTATTCCTCCGAACTTTGAAACTCTCCCTTGTAATTCCAGCCTTTTATTTTTCTGACAGAAACAATTCTTTTATAGTAATAGCGAGATGTCTGATGTTGCTGGGCAGTATGGCTTGAACAAATCTACAGTAGGGCACAGTTCAATCTTATCTAAGAAAGATGCAGTATAATCAAGAAGACTCAAGCAGCTGAAGGAATAACAAAAATCACTTCAGAGAAATAAAGAACATTGAATAGCTCATAATGGAACCTGAAATGGATCTGAGGATAGAATAACTGCAAGAACTTTTGAATGAAGAACACCAAGAAACTCAGCGAGATATGTTTTATTATGAAAAAGAGGATTAATGCTGATATCTGCTATTAATGAAAGATCTTTTGAAGTGGGGGATGCCAGATCAATGGTCTTAGAATGGCATACAAACCAGGTTGAGATTAATAGGCTTGGGGATCTCTACAATTACAATTCTATTACTGTAATTACTTCTGAAAATCCCAAAGAAGAGAAAAAAGCAATCGACGTTAGACAGATTCTTTAACCCCCACAAACAAACTAATAAAAATACAAGACTGCATATATATGTATTTTTATTATTACATATAAATGAATGTAGTAAGAAAGTATATATTTTCTATTTTTGGGTGTCTCCAGAATGAATTAATCAAATTCACATACAAACCTATGGTAAATTGATAATCGGTTAACGAACAATCCGGATAGCGAACAAAGTCTTGGAATGGATTATGTTCGTTAACCAATCATCCACTGTATATATATATATATATATGTAATCACCAGTATTCCCTATACACTTTTGGCATCAATAGTCAGCTTTCTCAAAACTGTTATGAAAGCTTGATTCTTCATCTAGGCCTTGTCAGTCTTAGATAATGAAACAAGAAGTTTTCACTTTGTGTCTTCATCCAAGTCATACAGTCCTTTCCATCCCTCATTTGAATCATATATTGATGTCCACAAAGATCCTTGGAAAAAGTAAACATTTGAGTCATACAAATGTCTACTTTTTCAAAGATGTTTGTGTAAGTCTTTTGTGTTTTTGTGGTGTGAAAAGGGCAATTTCTAAAGATTCCAAAATGTGTCTGGTCTTCTAATTATGAATATTTACTTTGATACAAAATGTAAAAGATTGTTTTTCTCTGCAATAGATACTAATAATTTTTATAAAAATTATGAGTAGTTCAGAACTATTATATGTAAAAATATCAAAACAAATAAGAATATTTTTATTTTTACATTAATACTTTCAATATTATTAATTATTGAATGAAAAGAGTATAAATTATAAAAAGAAATCCATAGAGTAATGCATTTTTCTAACATAAATAAAAAGTTTGATTATATGATATTATTATTAAACATTAATTAAAAATGCTAGGACAATAAATATTACATTACAAAAAAATCCCAATGCATAGAAGTACCACATAAGTGTCTTTATTTCATGATGTCCTTTACACACTTTAGGAACAAGCTTTCCTTACAGCGGAGTCGACCTTTCTTTATAGGCTGTTTTTCTTGCCTCAATATGTAAAAACATTAATTATTTTAATTAATGTTTAATTTTAAATTAATTTTATATGATTCTGCCAAAGCTTGTAAATATTTTACAACCATTTTTACATATGTGGTACTTATATGTGGTACTTATATATGCATTGGGATTTTTTTGTAATGTAATATATGTTTTTATGTTTAAGTTCACATCTACCAGGTAATTAGATCAATTTTAATATTCATTATTGGAAAAAATTGAATATTTGGCAATTTTCGATATTTATTCTCAATTATTGATGTACAAAAACTATTGTGAGATAGATTGAGTTCTTTTTTATGCCAGTAAAACAAAATTGTAAAATTTCTGAAAAATCTTGTAATATAATTTTTATTGGCAGGTAACTTAGGTTATAATTAACACTAGGACATCTATGCCATATATAATAGATAAAAAATCATGTAAATAGTTATATGAATTTTTATAGCAATTTATATGATTTTTAGTGCAAAGTATCCTAGCCTTATAAATTAAAAAAGAAAAACAAAAATTAGCATTGTTTTAGAATGTGTTTTCTTGTACTGTATATAAAGTTAAACAGTGGCAGATTTAGTTTTTATTTTTTAGATTTATTTTATATACATATAAGATCTGCTGTTTTTTCATTCCTGAGAAAAACTGGTCAGGCTTGAGTGATTGGCCTACACAAACGTCACCTTACATTAACACACCGTGTAAGGCTAATGTTGCATGGTCTTGACAGAGAACAGTTACACCCACAATTTATTCGATTTCCATTCAACATATTTCTTCTAGTTAAGAAGGAAAATTATATTTTTCATGGATGAGAAAGTGAGTTTACAAACGAATAATGTCTTTATACATAACTTAAAATGGTGGAAAAAATATCAGTGATGTGGTCTTCCACATTCACTGGATGCAGGGCAAGATTTCTAAATAGACACAGTAGGCCCGGGCCTACAGCTCGGACTTTGAGGGGGGTGGCATATTATAAAAGTATACTAAATAATAATTTGTAATAAAATGTCCAAGTTGGTGCCAGAAGCATTTATGTTTAAGTCAGAAAAGATATATAACCTATATTGCCTATAACAGCAATGACTTAAATCCATCCCTGAATGGATGGTTATGTTAAGGAGTCAGCAACTAGTGATGGTTGGGGTTCCACGTGGCTTGCACTCTCCAAACATTCACTTGCACAGATCAAATCGATACCAGTTCACTGGCCAATTCAAATTTGGGAAGATATTGTTCTCTTCTTCCAATGTCATCTGAAAACATCGAATAATAATGTATGTCATCATGGTGGATGAATTGCACAGATATGTGTTGATGAATGTCCCATATACAGTTTCTTTAAACTTTATCAACAACTTTAGTAAAAGACACAGTAAATTAATAATGTTTGAAAGTAATGGTTATAATTTGGCAAGTATTTTGGTTCCCATATATATGTTTTAAGAATTAATATGTAAATGTTGCTGTAGTATGAGAAAAGACATTCCAAGAAGATGGTTTGTTTTTGTACTTTATCTTTAAATTTATTACATTTCTTTTTAAATGTAATTTCTCTAACTGCAACTTTAATTAACGTTATTTTTCTAAAAGTGATTGAGATGCTAATATTAAATAATTCTGTTAATATAATAATAATAATAAAATATTGGTTGATTCTGTTGAAGGTGCCGCAACATATTTGCCATTCAGCAAAATCTNAAAAATTTGACCTTGCCGAAGACAAAGCCAATAAAACGTCACAATAAATAAGTAACTGTCAATAATAATAAAATCCAGTACGTCTCAAAAATGAATAATAATATAAATGCAGGCTTCTTGCTATATAAGAACTCTATATGTACTGTACAGTACATACATGCAAAATTAGTCTATACAATAAAGCGCATAACAATGAGTCGCGAAGTGGCTCTAGACCACGCTCGCCAGTATTTTGAACTGTTTTATCATTCTCCGGAGGTAAGTAAAGTTTCCTTTATCAAAATTTTAAAGCTTTTTTTCTTTTTAAATTAACGTCACTAATTTTTATCCCACTTTATTTGTTAGGAAATTTTGAATTCCATTCTAGAACGTGGCCCGCAGTTTCAAGAACTGGAATACAAGAATGCGTTGCAGTTATTACACAATAGTCAGCCGGGAAGCGACGCGGAATCTTTAAAATCCGATCTAGAAAGACTGCAGGATATTCTCGATAAAGTCGCCGTTACAGTATAATCTACATTGTACATATTATGTGGGATATCTTTAAATTAATTATAATAATTAAATTAAACCAGACATAAGCTTATGTTTAATTATAGCTGTTCTTGAATTATATAATAATCAGTAATTTTGTAATTTATGTAATATTTTATTAAAACTTCTAAATAATTATCTGATATTATTTAAGTTTACTTTTTAGCATGAAATTTACTATTTTATCACGTGGACTGCTACTTAGACTAATATGGCTCATTTATCTACATGATTCTTTTTTTTTTTTTTTGTGAAAAATGTTGCATAACATCTCTACTTTTTATAATATATATATATATTTTTTTTTTACACTTTCTTTGCTGTTAGCATGCAGGTAATCAGATATTAAGGAATGGAGTCGGATGTATCCAGGACCAATGGTGGACCAGTCCACTGGGAAATTGGGAATTTTCTGATGGGTCATTCACTCTGATTGTTAATTTATTTTAGTACAGTTGTCCCTCGATAATCTGACAGGTATGGGACCGAAGGGGTGTCAGATTACCAGAAGTGTCCGGATTACCGAAAATAATTACATATTTCGCATTGTTTTGCTAGCAGTAACTTACAATATTCTCTACTCCAACTGTTCGAACAGAACTGCTCACATAAAACACACGAAATGTGTGTCATCGAGTAAGAATTGGATGGGGAGATTCACATCGCGACATGCTTCTGTGCAAGCAGACATGTAACGGGGATGGGTACCTTGACGGGAGGTGCGTCGGACTACTGAGCATGTCGGATTAAAAAACGTCGGACTATAGAGGGA